GCGCTGCGGTCCCAGCTGGTGCTCCAGGTTACGGCCGGCCTGACGCGCGCCCTGCTGCACCTGCATGTGGCGCTCGACGCGCTGCTGCCGGTGATCCCCGGGGCGGTGGTGGGCCAAGAGGGTCCGCAGAAGGTCGGCAGCGGGGCGCTGCCAGTCTGAACATGCGGACGGGGCGATCGCGGCGAGCAGTTTTCGCCCCGGCAACCCGCTGTTTTGGTTTTTGGGGGCGAGCATTGGCATATCCTTTTGGCGAATCAGACGCGAGGTGGATTGGGAGAGATCTGGCCGCCGCCCTCAAGTGGAGGGCCGATGAGCAGCACGCATGCAGCGCCGGCAGCCGCGCTGATGGTAGTTTGCGGTGAGTGTCGGCTGACCCTGGCAGGCACGCAGTCCTCTTGCGCACGCGCTCCTCCGCAACCGCTGCAGCAGCACAAAACCAGCGCGCAGAAAATATCACAGGTTCCTCCCTAAATGAGCACACACTTGGACACCATGTCGAGTGGTGTGAATCAGTCAGACGTGTACGAGATAGGCTAGCTGTTTGGCAGGCCTGCAAGCACAGCTGCCGTTTTTTCGAGCTGTAGATGCTCTGGAGGGCACGCCTTGTATGCGCCATGTGTCCCTCAAGCTGCCGTTTGCACCTGAGCTTTGCAAATAGGCAGACCTGTCGACCTACATAGTACAGACTGCTGTGCAATAACAACACCCACACACCTGCGCAACCGATAGCCCCTGCCACACATCGATTTAAGGGTCTTTCCCAACTACCTTCAGTGGCTGTCAATCCACGTATTTGTATTGCTTTGAAACATAGTTTGCGTACTGACTGCGTAAGGTAAAGTGCAATCGACTCACTTCAACACACGTGTTACTAACGGCAAAGCAGGAGCCTGTGGATACTGAGCAGCAGCAGCAGCAGCAGCAGCAGCGGTGGCAGGCACCCGTTGGGTCCAGATGGCGTTCGGCTGCTGAAACCTGCCTGCTGCAACAGTCACCGGACCTCAAAGCAAAAGAGCCCAAGATACAGGACGCATACAAGTGCTGGGGAGTGTGCATCATCATGAACCGGCTGGATCAGACAAATTGCCATGCCAAGACAAATGTGGGAGCCAAGTGAGCTGACATAAGCGCCTGCACTTGTCGCCGCATCAGGTTCAAATCAAGGTGTGGTGTGGGCTCTGCGATTAGTAGTTCATGCCGCGAAGGGCCTCGTGCATGGTGACATCCTGACGGCATGCATGGCGCCAGCTGAGACTGATACGCGCGCATCAACCATTGTGGGCAGACAAGCCTTGTATGTGAGCGTGTGTGTGCGTGCACAATAGCAAGCGCAAGCACAGGTTGGGGGCGTGTGTGCGCATGTGCATGTTTGTGTGTGTGTGTGTGTGAGTGTGCGTGTGTGAGTGTGTGTGCAGGTGTGTGTTTGCTGTGCGTGTGTTTGTGCCCATGGGCACGTTTTAGAACCGACCCCAGGCAATGCCCGATTGCGTTGGGTGCTGATGAACAAAGCTCAATTCCTTGGGAGAAGCCGGCTCCACCCCTGTGTCGGTGAATGCCTTCCCCATCCCCAGGCGCTCTGAGTGCATGCGGCAAGAAAAATGCTGCCGCTGCGACATTGCCAATCGATGGCAGGACATGCATAAGGGCCGAGTTTGAAAAAACGTCGTCGCCCAATCGCGCAGATGGCAGCGGCGGGGCTGGGGCCAGGATGGAGCAACACCTGACACACAGATGACGTCACCTGAGCTCCTGACACCACCCCAGATCAGAGCGACGCCTCAGAGCCTGAGGGGCGCCGTCTTTAGAAGCGTGGCGGACCACTTTTGGGCCGCAGCGGCGCGCGGCGTTACGAGGCCAGTGCACTGACTGGCCTTGACGCCCGGGCCGTCCTGCAGCAGGTTGTGCAGGGGGTAGACTGCATGGTCCAGGATGAAAGAGGGGTCAAACCTGTGGAGGGTGGGGGATTACAGTGGTGACAAGCAAGCCGAATGGAGTCCAGGGGGGGGGGTCAGAGAGTTGGGGGGGCGCTGCACCGGTCAGCATGCGGTCGCAATCGCGAGATGATCCAGTCCAGTCAACTACGTGGTCTACTCTTAATCAACACCGGTAAAGAGACAGTTTTTTGTGAAGTGAACGTGCATGTCAGGATCAGAGCCTCTCTCACTTTTCGTTGATGCACAGCAGCGGCTGCATGGAGGCACCGTAGTACGCCCTGGGGTTGGAAAGTTGGTGCATGTAAGGTGTAAGGTGCATGCAAGCGTAGAGGAGTTTATGAGATCCCCGGCATTGCGGCTGATCATGGTTGGCGAGATGGGTCCACCATGGAAGGGTTTGTGCGCATGTGAAGGGCCGCAGCCTGCTGTTGCGGCGCTGCCGAAAACAGCAACCCCATGCAGCAGCTGAGATGGGCAGTCACGTGCGCAAACAGAGCCACCCAGCAGGCCGCGGCCACGCATGCGCCACATGCGGTGTGGCCGCTCACTTTTCCCAGTCTGAGGAGAGCAGTGCGATGTCGGAGTCGCTGCATTGTTTGGGCGGGCAGTGGCGGACGACGGGATGCTGGGCGTTCAAGTGTGGGTCAAATGAGGGTCATCCGACACAGGGCATCCCCGATTCAGCAGGCGGCTCCCCAACGAGCGCCACGGCCTGTCAGCCTTGATAGGCTCTCTGAACTCTACCGTTTCCTTGCCTCTCGTGGGACACAGGCGCGGCGGTGCTTCCGGATTTGACCAACCCAAACCTTGAACCTTCAGCAACCCTGAACCCCGCCGCCCTCAGCTCCTCGTCCCAAGTGTGACTCAGGAGTGCACGAGTAAAGACCATCCTGAAGCCAGCAGCTTCTTGCCCGAACCCCCTCACCCTTCTTAGCCCTCCTCCTTCTATTTTGTCTTTGCCCCAATTTCTTCTCTCTCCGCCCCCCTCCCCTACTTTGACCATAACCCTGCCAGATCTCAACATGCAGCGCTCACATGAAGTTGACGTATGATCTGAAGTCGGCCGCCTTCCTTGGAAACGTGTTGACGATGTCAGCCTGGGCGCGGGACGCCTGAGGAGGCCGAGGGGCGGTGAGGTTGATATGCGGGGGGCGGGATGGGTCACCAAGCGAGGCAGTTTGCAAGGGCTCTGCACAACGGACAGCGGACTGACAGAGGGGTTGGTGTCGCCAAAACGGAGGGAGGGAACGGATGCTGTGGGCCTTTGCGCGAGAGGCCGGAGTCCTGCAGGTGGGCGGATGTGCCCAGTGCGTCAGGCGTGCGGGACAGCCAATGCCTGAGGCTGAGGTTCATGGGTCTGGAGGTCAGACAGCAGGAAATCGCTCAAAGAGTTTGGGCTACACAGGTGCCCATTCGATTTGGGATTTCGGGCTTGCAGCCGGGTGCCGCGGCGGCCCCTCACGTTGTTCAGCTGCGCCATGGCGGTCTCATAGACGGGGCCAGAATTCTGCTGCAGCCCGATGCGCATGATCAGGACGTGCGTGGCGTCGTGCAGCAGGGACGACGTCGCCTCCTGCACGCGCGTGGGTATGAGGGAGACGAGGTTGTGTCATGCTGTATAAGGCCGCCAGAGGAGGAGGAGTGCACAGGGGGTTGCGGCCGCTTGAAACGGAGGCGGAGCGTGCTGGTGCCTGGCGTGCGCTGCCGCCTGATGCGCATGTCCTGGCCGCGTGAATGCCACAACGCGCTGACGCCTGCGCACAAAGATCCAGGCAGCCACACGCAGCCGTATCCACCCACACCCACACCCACACTCACCCCCCCATCGTACACACCAGCGCCTCACCACCATCAACACCGCGCATGCAGGCGTGCGGTGCACGCACGCGTGCATGCGTGTGCGTACATTAACGCGCACCCACACCCACCACCCACACCCACACGCATCGCCCCACCCTGGGGACGTCTTTCATGGCTCCCCCCAGCGACTGGATCTCAAACACGGTGTTGGGGGGCGACTTGAGGCCCGTGCTTGCGGCCCACTTGAGCAGGATGTCCACTCCCGCTGCGTTCAGAGGGGCAGTGTCACTCAGCAAGATAGACTTGAACCTGATGGATTCGCGCGCACGTGTGTGTGGGTGAGGTGGGGGCGTCATGCACGGCTGCAACTGCAACGAATTGTTGGCGAGGGAGGGGGAAGCTGACCGCCAGGGTGGGGGGTTTGGGGGGAGGGCGGCATTCTCAAGCTTGGCAGCAGGTAACCCCCCTCAGCCGCCCGTGCATGGCATCGTGCACAAAGCCTTGGAGGTACTAAACGCCTGACCGTGCAGCCATATGAAAGCCAAGACCCACCAATAGAAAGACTTGTGCATGCGCTCGTAGTTTGTGAACGTCTTGATGTCCCTGAAAGCGTCTAGTACCGACAGCTTGGTGGGTGGTGACATGCCTGAGGCAAGTCGCAGACGACGCAGGGCAAGGGGGGGGGAGAGAGAGAGAGAGAGAGAGAGAGAGTGTGTGTGTGTGTGGGGGGGGTGCGTGGGCGGGTGCGTGGGTTGCAGTTGAAAGGGATGTGCTCCAAGGAGCCGCCAGCTCAACTCCTGCCCCTGCAACCATTGTGGGCCCCCTGGGCCCGACATAACCAGCCACCTCCACTGCGCTCTCGTCGGAACTTAAATAACAACTAGCAGCGTCACATCCATTCATGAGTTCTCCCGTGATATCAAGGAATGCGTCCTGATTGCAATAGTGTCGGCTGCGAACAGCGCAAACGCAAGCGCCCGGGAAAATTATCTCCTGCCCGCGCACCCCCGCCGACGTTCTTGACAATCATGGCGAGGGTCGTCCCGTTTTCCGAGGCGTTCCTGATCGTGGCCGGGTTGATGATCTTGCCCAGCGGGCTGCCAGGGGGCGGGAGGCCCTTCGGGTCGATGGCTTTGGTGCAGTCGTCGATGTTGCCAATGCACTGGGCAGAGTTTGGGTGGTTGCGGGCGGTTTTTGAACAGATGATATTGGCGGAGGGGGGCGTGCAGGATCGCGATCATTACAAGTGCTGATGAAGAAATATGTTGGGAATTGTTGATAGTTATTGTGTTTGGAAGGGTAAGTGGGACCCCCAAAAGCATGCGAAAAGGGACGGCTGCGGGCGGTGAGCGTGTCAGGGGGGTCCGCGGGGGACAAGCGGGGGGGAGGCAGCCAAGGCTGCACGGACTCGAGGGGTGATATGGAGCAGATAAGTGGTTGAGGGGGAGCAAAGCTGTTCAAGGAAGCACAGGGTGCCAGCGAACACAACACAAACAGGGGTACAGGGAGGCAGCCAAGCAACGCCACTCACGTACATGAGCATCGACATGGTGACCTGCTGGCGCTTTGGGGTGCCCTCCTCGATGACATCATACTCGATCTGCAGGGGCACAGGCGGCGCGGCAGCGCAAATAAAGCTTTGGGCAAACCAGCATGCAGGCGACGCCGCGGTGGCGCGCGTGTGCTATTGAAACTGCTATGGGCGGAGGCGTCGCCACCACTACTGTGGTCCCGTCCGCTGGCCTGCGGCTTCATTGTTCAGATCTCACGCCCTCAAGCCGCCACAGCCTATGCCGCAGCCGCTGCCACAGATAAGGAGGCGTTTGCATTTCCAATGTTGCCAGTTTCGGCCCTGTTCTAGGCGCCACCTGACGCTTTGCGCTGACCTTGGGCGTGAACCTGTTCGGCAGAGTGGGCACCCATTTGAAGTACCAGGTCAGCATGTCATTCACCTGCGGGGCGTTTAGAGATTAGATGTTGAGATATGGAGCATGTGCGTGGCGAAGTTGTATGGGGTGGGGACGGCCTGGGGTGGTGATGAGCAGGGGCAGAAGCCAGAGAATCGGGATGCCTGGGCGAGGCACTCAGCCAGCCAGAACCAGGCATGTGCACCACACCGTCACG